CCTTCCCCTTGCTGCGATGAACCCTCTCCCTGCGGCGATGGGCTTTCTCCTTGCGGCGATGGGCACCTCCTCCGAGTCGACCCCTGGTCCAAAGGGGTAGGACGTCCAGCTGGGAACGGCAGCAGCACGGTTGTTGCTAGGCTTCCCTTTCCATGGACAGTGGCACGGACGATGCGCCAGTGCTCGAGCGTTGACAAACATGGCATCATCACGGACTGACTTCTGCTTGTTGTTTTCCTTTTGCGCGCCTGTGCTTGTTTGTCCTCTGCTTTTGTCTTCCATTTTGACTCTCCTCCCATGCCTCACGTTTCCGTGACTTGCTTCGACCTACCCACGACGAACCGGTTCTTGACCAACCTCGACAGCGACTTCCCCATCACCAAGCAACTTGCATCCAGTATTCTCACCAACAAGGTGTGATACTCTCAAAAACCGCCGACTGGCTATTCATCGCCTCTCCTACCTACTCTTCTCCAACCAGCATTTACTGCCATGACGATTGCTAGGTAACACGCGCTGCGCGGCTACGACGTCGCCTCTCGCCAATCTCCTCCAACATGGCCACAGCGAGAGCCATGGCCAATGTGCCGCGGGGAGGCCAACGCCAGACCCTGACCGGTCTCGATACCTATCACCAATACATAGTACAGGAGAGCCGGCTAAAGCCAGATCCTCTGCGCATACAACGCCCAAAAGCTCGACTGTCCGGCGCGGACAGAGTTGAGCGGCCATATACAGCACGCTTCGGCTCCTTCAGCACACCACATCCAACGGGACACACTCCATCGTCTAGCCAAGAAAGTAACATAAAGCGACCATCCTCTGCAAAGGCTGACTCGCCAACCATTTCGACTTCCGACTTCGCCCCCGTCTCCGACCAGACGACCCAAGGCACTCCCATCAACTCCCGCGCAAGACGGGTTCGACTCGCTTCGCCCGCATCGCGTCGTGGCCTGCTCGAGACGCCCAGTACAGACCCAGCACCAAGCGAACCCCTAGTGGACGTCAACCTGCCGTGGCGACCGCCATATCTCAAACGAAGGGTTCTCTTGTCGTTTGCGCTTCTCTTGGCTGGCTTGATTGCCGTCATTGAGGCCCTCTTAGTCATCTCAACCCGCAACACAGGCGTAGGGCCTCCCACGCGACTACTGCGCTACGCATGGCAGTATGCTCCGCCTGCCGTCGTCACCCTCGTCGCGGCCATCTGGACGCGGGTTGAGTACCAGGCCAAGGCAAGTGCGCCCTGGATTCGCCTGTCCCGTGGGCCGAGCGACGTCCGGACATTGACGCTGGACTACACATCGATGGTGGCACCTCAGGCCATATTCAGGGCAGTTCGAAACCGGGACTGGCTCGTTGTTGCTATTACACTGGCCGGCCTAGTCTTCAAGCTCCTGATCGTCTTCTCCGTTGCGCTTGTGACACCTGTACGGACCAATGTAGAAGACCATCTTGCGAGCATTGCGGTCCAACGTGCCTTTGTTGACAACGCGTCCGGGTTACAAAACCCCAGCTCGATTCCGCTCTTCACAATGCTGGGGTTGCAAACGACCGATCTCACTTTCCCAGACGGCACGTCGAGAGACTTCGCTTTCCAGTCATTCGATGCCAATCTGCCAGCCACTGCCGAGCTTCGGGCGACGGTTGAGGGCTTCCAAGGACGCCTCGAATGCGAGCCGGCTCAAACAACTCTCAACAGCGTTCAGCTGCTGCAAGGATCGACGACACGACTTGACGTCACGGTTGCGGCACCATCCTGCAGGACAACGCAGAGCATCATGAACAACCTTCTCTCGAGCAACGCCTCAGCGCTGATACCCCGGGTGTTCATGGCTTTCCAAGGGGGTGACTGCGGCAGCACTCAGGCAAACGACGACCAGCGGTTTGTCATCATGGTGGGCACCATTACCGTAGATCCGGCGTCGTTCCCTCGCAATCCCAACGCAAGGGATATTCCCCTGCGAGGCGCCCTGCCGCAGTCGGCTGCGGTGATCTGTCGACCTACCTATGATCTTGGGCCGGTGGAGGTGGTGAAAAATGGGACAGATTTGCTTTCAATCAGACGACTCAACAGCACGCAACCTCGGACTCTCAATACCATTCATCCGTGGGACTTTGCCCGGGCACAATTCGAATTATACGACGAAGCAAGACTGAACGGCTCTGTTCGTGCCACCGACAAATACTACGACAACCCCGACCAAGTCGTCATTGATTCGGATGGCATCATCGACGTCATGATGGCCATGGAGGTCAAGGCGAATGGGGTGCCGCAGCTAGGAAATTTGTTGGACACTGCAACCCTTGATCGTCTAGCATCTGCATACTGGACGCAGTTTTCGGCACTCCTCGCAAGGAATGAGATTATGGCCGGGGCTAGGCAGCAAACTGTCGGCAGAGCAGTGCTCGTAGGGGAGCGACTGCTGGTTCGTACTGTGCCCACACACCTCATGGCCGCCCTTTTTGGCGTCATTGTCCTTGTGTGCCTGCTGGCCGTCGACATGGTACCCAGACTCGGATTTCTGCCCCGAGATCCCAGCACAATTCTGGATATGGCGACTTTACTGGCACACAGCCGACCGCTGCTGCAGTGCCTACGAGGAACCGGCGCCGCTGATGAGACCACCATTCACGATCGACTTGAAGGGTCGACCTACCGCCTCGGCGTGGAGCCTTATGAGAAGACGACGAGCACCAGCTCTGGGTATTTCAAGATCTTGGGCGGGTTTCCTCCACCACTGGATGCACCGCTGTACTTTCAGCACACCGGGCAATGGAAACGGCCCTTGTCATTACAGCTTTGGACAAGAGGAGCTGTGATTGCCGTGCTTGGCGGCATGATCGCGAGCTTGGAAGTGGCCTTGCGAGCATCTCGTCGTAACCAGGGCATCGCAGGCGTCAGCGACATCGATTACCTGCATTTCCTGTGGACGTCAGGTCCCGCCCTGCTGCTGCTGGGCCTCGCTCTTTACCACAGCGCTGCCGACTTTGCCACTCGAAGCCTGGCGCCATTTGCAAAGCTCAGGGGCGGCGGTGAGCTGAGTACTACGGTGGGTCTTGACTTTCTCAACAAATCGAAGCCTCGCGTCATCTGGTCTGCGCTGCGAACCGGCAACCCTTCTGTGCTCATCACGAGCATCACGGCATTCTTCGCTACGCTGGTCGTCATCTTTTCTGGTGCCCTCTTCACGCCGGTGCCAGTGTGGGACGCCCGGAATGTTGTCCTCCAGAGTGCAGACTTTTTTGCCAACACGACTGTCCTTCCTGCAGGGCTTGACCCTGACTCTCTGCCACCCGCCGATAGTGACGCGGTGCTGTCATCGCTGATTCTGAACGCTAATGCCTCGTTTCCTGCCTTCACGTTCAACGACTTGAACTTTCCGGCAATGCAGCTGCAGGGTGCGTTACCCAACGATTACCGCGAGCTTCAGGACATTGCCATCGAAGCAACCATTCCAGCACTTCGGCCTAACCTGCAGTGCCGTCTGTACCCGCAGTCCGAGATATCGACCAACATGACAATCGACAACCTCTTCATCAACGTCGACGCGGAGCCTTGCCGGGTGGGCAACTCTGGACAGCAAACAAGCAACGCCCAGTTCCCGGCGATTCCAGGGGCTTCCGGTCCGACGGCCCTCTTTGGTCGAGCTACGTCCCGTCGAGACAATCGTGCGCAATGCTCTGACTTTCTTTACATCTGGGGGCAACTCGATAACCCCAGCTCGCCATCATCGACTGTGTCGTCTGTATCCGCCATGGGATGCAACGAAACGCTCGAGACAGTGGCTGTGTTGACGACGCTGCGTGGTCCATCGCTTCGGATCGATCCGACGATACCACCGCGTGTCACAGGCGCGACGGCTACACTAAATGCTGTGGCGCTACCGGTGTTGCAGTACAGTCGCCTCGCTAACCTGACCGCTACGGGGGGTAATCTGCTTGATCCTTTTTTCTCTGCCCTGACCTCGTCAGACGTTGCAGTTCCGGCGGCAGCCCTGAGTGACACAGGTCTCGATACAGCCGGCCGCGTAGCAGACGCCGTTGTCGCGCAGCACAAGGTGATCCGGGCACAAAACCTCAACCTCAATATCCGACGCTCGCTCTCTGCGCAAGGGAACTTTCCCTTTGCGGGCAACGGCGTCACCATTGGCACGGGCGGCGATGCTGCAGCGGCACAGCCTCGGGTCGCGGGCGTTCTGCGGAGCGTCAACAATAGCGGCGCGCGCAGGCTCGAGGTGGACGAGATTGCGGCGCGCGTGCTTCAGGTCGTTCTCGGCGTTGTTTTGCTTGGCTGCATCGTGGGGCTGATCCTCGCCATCATTGGTGGACTCGGCATCCGCGGAGAAGGCATGGTGCCGCGACAGGGCAGGAGTATCGCGTCCATCGCGGCGCTGTTGGCTGACGGCAATGTTTTCGGGTTCCTCGGGCGGGGTGCCGAGTGGATGAAGCAAGAAGAGATTGAGGCAGACTTCAAGGATGGAGGCCTCGTCGTGGGCTTCGGACTTGGATGGGAGGTGGTACGGGCGAGGCGGCGAGGCGATGGGGTGCGTAGGTATGGAAGCGACCTGCTCGGGGATGAGGAGCTCGAATTTGGGCTCAAGGTGGTGCGGGCAGGCGGATGGCAGGGCGGAGTCGAGGTCGGACTCGGGACGATGGCGCGCGTGACTCGCGGGCAGCGAGGGTTCGTGCGGGCTCGGTCCTGAGCTGGCGGCGGACATGACGACATGATGTTACATTGAACGATTTTCTTTTGTCGAGCGAATGCTTCGGGGATACAGCTGTTAGGAATACCACGAGGGAAGAAAGTAGAGGCATGGTCAGGGGGGGGGGGTATTATTATGTTGGGCTATGACACTACTACCGTACACTGCTGCGATGAACTCGGCTTGCTCATTACGTTTTCCCGTCGTGTCTATTTTCCTCTGTCACTTCTGCCGTAGCTGCGCCGCGTGGACGTGTGTTGCGTCTGCTTCAGAGCGTGACCTCCGCAGCGGGATGACTTAGAGGAGGGCCAGAGCGCCGAGGGCGAGGGCGCCCCAGGCACCGCCGCGGGCGAGGGTCGCGGCGCCGCTGTCGCTGCCGCCGGTGCCGGTGGCGGCGGCGCCCGTCTCGGTGGCCGAGGCGTCGGAATCGGCGCCGGTGGCGGTGGCGTTGGCGGCGCCGGTGCTGCTGGGGGACTCAGGCGCGGCCGAGGCGGGGAGGGTGGGCTGGGGGACGCCGGACTCGGTGATCTCGGCGGAGCCACCGGTGACGGCGGCGCAGAAGCCGGCGGCGGCGGGGAGGACCTCCTCTGGGGCGGGTGTTAGCCAAGGTTCAAGGGGGGATGAGAAGAGGCAGGAAAGGCTCGGCCGGGATGAGAAGAGGGAAGCAAGGGGGCCATGAAAGCAAGGCAAGGAAGGCAAGGAAGGCAAGGAAGGCAAGGCAGGCAAGGCAGGAACACGCACCGATGGAGCGCACGGCGCCGCAGGCCTGCAGCACGCAGGCCTGGCCGACGGTGTAGGTGTTGCGGTAGTTGTCGGGCTCGCAGATGCAGTCGGCGTCGGAGGCGTCGCAGGGCGTGCCGTTCTTGATGGCGTCGCCGAGGCACTCGCGGGCGCACTCGGGGACCGACTCGAGCAGGGACTGGCCCTGGGCGGCGACGAGGCCGGCGAGGGCGAGGACGGGGAGGGCGAACTTCATTGCTGCTGGTTTTGTCGGGGGGTTGGGGTGGCGAGCGAGCTTGCTGGAGAGGCTTCTGGGGAGGCTTGCTGAGGGGGGGGGGAGCTTCTGGCGGAGGTGGGAGGGAGGGGATTCACGGGCGATCGGCCAGAGGAGAGGGGGATGGGTGAGCTTTTAACGCGCGCCGGGGAGTTCCATGATCACAAGGCGCGAAGGAGGATGGACCGGAACGAGCACATACCCCGGTCTCCTGTTCCTACATAGTATGCCTACAGAAGCCACCGAACATCCGCTGTGTACATGTACTGTACCCCTTCTCAGCTACGTTGGCGTGCAGAGTCTGCCCCTGGCGCCTCGGCTGCGCGGGATGCAGAGGGGCCCTCTTTCTGCTGTTGCCATGGTTGCTGTTGGCCGTGAGCATGCGGCGAGGCGTCGAACCATGCCGTTTTGAGGCGAGGTGGACCGCTCATGTTGTGTGTGTTGGTGTGTTGGGTGCCAGGGGGAATGAGGAGGCTAGGCCGGAAGAGGGGCGGCGCAGGCGAGGTGTGGGCGGCATTTGTGGTTTTTATTCTTTTTGATTGATTTTTCGGGGGCTGTTCGTAGGTTGTGGTGATGCTCGGCGCGGTTCGGCGCATCAGATAAGATGGAGCCTGTTATTTCGCTTATCAGATGATCTGATAAGATGGTGAACGCCCCAAGACAATGCAATACGAAGTCTATTGCAAAAGGCTTCATCAGTGGAGCTCGGCCATGTCGGAGCCGAGGCTGGGCTTTTTTTTAAACGGATGGAATGGCCTGGTCTGATGGAACTATTGATGCAGTTACATTCCATTTTGATTATTGATTTCTGTTCGTGTTGTAGAGCACAAGATCCTGACGTCACAACATGTCATGAATGTCCTCCTTGCTGTGCTCAGTACAAAGGTGGAAGACAACACACTACAAATGCCTTTTCCATCGATTGCTCACATTTTCCCCCACCGGCCGGAGTACGCCCATAACGCCAATTGATCACCACCGCCCATGAACCGTTTCGTGCCTCGCGTTGGCCGTGTGCTCGTGCTCGTCCCACAGGCGCGCCTCTCGTCATCGTCTTCGGCCCCCCCATCGTCGACACCCCCCATGTCTGCCGATGCCGAACGCGGCAACGCAAAGTCATCGTCGACGCACGCATCATCGACACCCGCGCCGAAAGCCAAACGGAAGACCATGGCCGAACTCGACGCCGAGCTCCGCCTCAAGATGGAGGGCATCTCCGGCGAAGGCGGCGCCGCCGGCGTCGAGTACGAAGACGGCAAGGCCGAAGGCCTCAAGCGCGGTGTCAAGTCCAACATGTTCCGCGTCATCTAGTGGGGGCGACATCTGGAAGAAGGCGAATGAAATAAATCGAAAAATAAATGAAACACCAAAAGAAAAAAAAAATGAAAGACGCCATGTCACCACGACGTCACGAGGAGCACCCCCAGAGGCATCGGCCCCGTGTTGACGAGCTCACACGGCGCTCCCGCCGGCACCGTCAGCATGTCGCCCGCCCGCAGCGCTTGCTGCCGTGGGCTGTTGCGCGAGCCGACTTGCGCCAGCGCCGAGCCGGTTGTGATGGTGATGGTTTGGTCGGCGGATTGGATCTGTTCCGTTGTTCGTCAACATGCATTTCTCAAGCACAATGGGCTACTGGGATGGAGAAGGGGGGGGACCTTACATCTTCGACCATGTTGCCGCCTTCGGGCACCGTGATGGTCGTCAGCTGCGAGTGCAGGCCGGTCCAGAGCACGCGGCGAAAGGCATCGTGGTCCGAGGGCCGGTAGCTCTTGAGCATGTTGGGAAAGTGTTTTGGATAGTGCTGCGCGTCGGCGCTGGGTGGCGGTGTTGGCGCTGGTTCCATGGTTGTTTTGCGTCTATTTCTTGTCGTCTGACTGCGCGTTGCGGATACACTTGATCGTGGCTGCGTAGTAGCTTTTATCGAGGGAGCAACATACACCCAGCAGCCCCAGACACACAGTTATATAGAGCAACGAAGGCCGACGCACTCATCGTGACTGGCCATGGGGCGCGTCCGGGGCTCCGCGTGTCACATCATGGCGCCGTCCAGCGTCAGCAGATGCATCGTGGAACCTCAGCCCACCCCGGACCCGCTTCGGCTGGCGCCGATTTTGGCGTGTCCGTGGTATGATGTCGCGTGCGCGAACTGCATCTCCGGGTGGATGGCAGCAAATGACAAGCGATGGACTTGAGGGATCTGGAGTATCTCACGGGAAGAGTCGATCTAAGTGCTGTCTGGGTTGACATCATGCTGAAGACATGAGCATGATCACCCTGTCCTAGGGACCTACCCAGAGCACGCTTCAAAGACATGGTACTTCTCTTCATCTTGATCAGCACCGAATCGAACACATCAGCACGTCACTTTCGTGTCCCCGCAAACTCCCCAGTCCCGGACATTCTCTTGCCGTCACCGGAATTTGACGAAACCCGCTGCGTGACCGTCAAACTTTGCTGCTCTCAGTCACGACGACCTCATCCAGAGTGGGTCCTCGTCCACATCCATCGTATGATGCATCTCAGCAGAAGAGTCTGGAACACGCGGAGCGAACGTGATGACTACTACTATTAACCAATATGCACACGTAAAAAAATGATGCCGTGACAAAAGACCAACGAAGTATCTGGCGTCAACCACCCATTGACTTTCATTTCCCCTGCCCGGTCCATCTGCCCCCTCGTCACCTCTACCCACCCCCCGAGCGCCCACGCTCAGTTCACACACTGCGAATACCACTGGTTCTGCGCCCGGCACGTCCCCTGCGAGCAGCACTTGGCCCCGTTCCACCCCTGCCCGCCGCACTGCCCCCACAGCGCCGCGCAGTTGCCCCCCGGCGGCGGCACGGTCGGGGGCACGCCGGGCGGGATCGTAGGCGGCACACCCGGGCTGGGGCCGGGACCTGGTCCAGGGCCTGGCGGCGCGCCGGGACGGGGAAAATCGACGGCCATGTTGTGGCCCGTCTGCTTGTCGCCGTAGTAGACGTCGGGCGGAAACTTGTTCTGGCTGACGCAGTTGGGGTTGCAGGCGTCGAGGGGCCCGGAGCGGCCGCGCGTGTAGTCGAGGACGAACTGGTCGTCGATGCACTCGGGGAGGACTACGGCCCGTTTGTCAGTACGAGCTGCTGCTTTCGTGTTGGGTGAACTCGATCTCGCGAACGTACCTTTGAGGTCGTTGAAGGCCATGTTGCCCAGGTAGCAGTCGCGCATCTGCGTCGTGTACGGCGTGTACAGGCCGTTCCAGTTCCAGTACCAGTTCCTGTGCGGTGCGTCAGAACCTTGGACTCTGCAGCCGAGAGACGATGGGGTGGCCTACTTGTTGGTTCGGTCGGCGGCGCAGCCCAGCATGATCAGGGCCCCTACGGGCGACGTCTTGACCGACTCGGAGTTGGTGTTCGGGCAGCAGTAGCTGATGAGGGGGCCGGTCGTCGTGCAGTTGAGAGACCCCAGCACGCCCGAGGCGGCGGCAAGGAGCAGAAGGCTCGGCTTCATCATGGGCGGAATGAGCTCGGTGTGTGCTCAGAACTTTGTTGGCGGGTTGTGTCGCTGGGTTGGAAACCATCGTCAACTTCCACTTGGCGCGTTGACCTTCTCATTTATACACGCGGAAACACTACGAAAGCCCTTCTTGAACGCCTTTCCCTTCTACCCCTCGTTTTGACGTGTCACTATTGCCCCTTCGACCGCCAGGTTGCCTGGAAGCAGAGAGGAGAGGCTCTCGCCAAGCATAATTGATGAACAGTCTCTGAATACAAGCTTCCCTCACCTATCAGTTTGCTACAAATAGATGAGCGCGACAGCGACTTGTGGTATCTCAAACAGCCTGCATCGGCTAAATCAGTTCAGTCCCCGGCTATGGGGCTGTAGATCTATCTTGGGGATGGCTTCGGTCATCTAATGCTCGACAAGCGACAATCAGTACAATCAAAACCCTTTGAGACACTCGTCTCCGATGCCAGAGATACCCACGAGGGAATGCTAAAGAAACCCATCTAGTGCCTCCAGTCCCTCTTGCGTCTCTCTCTCCCCCGAGCTGCACGTGGCGGGCCGCCCTTGGCAAGATCTCGTTGACTCGGTCCCCAATCGCCCGACTCTTGGCCGTCTTGACGATGTACGCCCCGAACGCCACGGATCACCTTGGGCGGGAGATTTACTCCCCCTCATCCCTGGGGTGTCCACAACTGCCGTGCCAAGCCACGGATGCATCGGGCATTATCGCTCGGCAGAGCACAAACGCGCGATGCCAAGCGGCCTGCCAGACATGCCAATGCTCTCTTCGGACACCTGGACTTCGGAGACGGATGTTCCACGGCTCGAAAGGTAGGCAGAAGACTACTGATTGCCCGGTTGAATGGCACTGCAATCTACCAAATGCCCATTCCGGGGTTCACCTGAGCTGCACCCCAGGTCTTGCTGCTTCCAATGGGTGAACAGGCTGGGATGAAGCGACCCTCGGGGGGGAAAACCATGTTTTCCAAGCTTAGATACAAACGGCGTCACTACGGTCCTTGACCGTTGGGGTCGCTCATCTCCCGTCTTGGCTAGGATCGGCATCCATTCTCGCCGGCTTCGCCGCTCGTCATTGACAGGACAATCCCCACCCTTCGGCTAAAAGCTCTGTCGACAGTCGATTCCCATGCCAGACATCCCCGGCCGTTCGATGGTTCACAGCAAATCACAACACGACAGGGTAATCCTCGGGTGGTCTTCATCGCAAACCAGTCCGGGCCGCAGCTGGACGACCTGGGAGTGGTCAGAACGTGGCCCTGACTCGTGGTGACGATGAGTAGTGAACGCGAGACATCGGCCCGACGTATGGTGTTTGCGGGGACATAGACCAAGAAGGTCGGGGTTTTCCCCGCGTGGCTCGAGAAAAACCTCCACAGATCCAACCATCGAGCACAACGTTCGCTGGAGCCTCTGGGGATCATGTGGAGATACTCCGAGATTCTCCGCACTCTGCCTAGGCCGAGATCCGTTCAACAGCCCTCCTCTCAGCAGTAGGCTGCCTGGCCAAGTTTTCCAATTCGTCCAACAGAGCTACATCATGGTCCCCGAGCTTGCTTTCGCCCCGCCACCGCCGGTATCCAGTCGCGTGCCTCCGAGCTCCACAAGACGATGCTCGGTCTGGGGACTTATCGGCCCTGCTTGGAGATTTCGGTCTATCATGAGTCGTGACGTGTTGACGTCGGCGGGGGAAACCATGGCCAAGATCTGCCTCTGCATCGTACTGGTTTGTCATGACCTACATCGCAGCTAGGGCTCATAGGAGCTGTATTTGGACTACGATGCTTGACTACGCGGAGATCGTCAACCTATATAAGGGTCACGTCTCGCGCTGTAGACGGAAGCCGAGGAACATGCTCACAGCACCAGCCCAAAGCCTCAGCATCCATCATGGCCGCCTCTCTTGCCTTGATCTTCTCGAGCCTCTTGCTAGCGCCTGGCGTTCGCGCTCAGGCGTATGACACGCAAGATCGTGGCGAAGATGCCTTCAGCTATGTTCAGCCTCTGAACACAACCATTCTGGGTCCTTATGGACACTCTCCCGCCGTCCTGCCCTCACGTGAGTCGAGGAGCCATCCATAAAAGCTTACACAGACTGACAATGTCCAGCCAATGCTACTGGCGCTGGAGGTTGGGAAGATGCCGTGGCCAAGGCCTGGAACTTCATCGATCAGCTCACCCTCGAGGAGAAGGCTGACATGGTCACTGGCCAGCCAGGGCCCTGCGTCGGCAACATTGTGGCGATACCTCGCCTCGGCTTCAACGGCCTCTGCCTTCAGGATGGACCCCTGTCTATTCGTGTCGCCGACTACGCCAGCGTCTTCTCGGCCGGTGTGTCGGCCGCTGCCAGTTGGGACAAGGGACTGATGTACGAGCGCGGCCTCGCCATGGGCAAGGAGTTCCGCGCCAAGGGCGCCCACGTTGCTCTCTCCCCCGTTGCTGGTCCTCTCGGTCGCTCTGCCTATTCCGGCCGCAACTGGGAGGGCTTCTCCCCCGATCCTTACCTCACCGGTATCGGCATGGAGCAGACCATCCAAGGCCACCAGGACGCCGGTGTCCAGGCCACGGCCAAGCACTGGATCGGCAATGAGCAGGAGACTCTCAGGAACCCGATCTACGACCCCAACGGCACCCTTACGGACGTCACCTTTGAGGCCCTCTCGGCCAACATTGACGACCGGACCATGCACGAGCTCTACATGTGGCCGTTCGCCAACGCCGTCCACGCCCGCTGCGCGAGTTTCATGTGCGCCTACCAGCGACTCAACGGCTCGTACGCCTGCGAGAACTCCAAAGCTCTGAACGGCCTCTTGAAGGAGGAGCTCGGCTTCCAGGGCTACGTCATGTCGGACTGGGGCGCCACCCACTCTGGTGTTGCCTCCATCGAGGGCGGTCTTGACATGAACATGCCCGGTGGCCTTGGCCCCTACGGCATGACGCCTGAGGCTGGCTCGTTCTTCGGCGGCAACGTCACCACTGGTGTGAACAACGGCACCATCGATGTCGCACGCATTGATGACATGATTCTCAGGATCATGACCCCCTACTACTGGCTCGGCCAGGACGGCGACTTCCCCAGCACCGATCCTTCATCCGCTGATCTCAACACCTTTTCTCCCAGGGCCACGTGGCTGCGCGAGTTCAACCTGACCGGTGAGAGGAGTCGCGATGTGCGCGCTGACCACGCCGGCCTCATCCGCAAGCATGGTGCCGCGGCAACTGTGCTGCTGAAGAACGAGAACAAGGCTCTTCCCCTCAAGGCGCCGAAGTCGATTGCCGTGTTCGGCAACGATGCCGGCGAGGATACACAGGGTTTCTACAACCAGGCCGACTTCGAGT